CACACACACACACACACACACACACACACACACACACACACACACACACATACCTCTATGTACATAGATAGGCACAGAGATCCATATATATTTTTTATAAACAACTTCACAACACATGAATATGTTAACTTAATTAAAAATTAGACTTTAAGAGAGAGACTAGAGTCCTCTGTTTTTCAGTAAGTTAATTTGGACGAATCTTTCCAGATCTTTTTCTCTACATATGTAGAAAAAGAGTTGCCTCTCAGCTCTCTGAACAAAGTATAAATGATATTAGGCTGTACATAACCATTTTTAATCCAAACTGTGTCTTAGACATTTTTTTGGTTCTTAGTCAATGTTTTTGCTATATTTTTAAGTCGTCTATCGTATGATTTCTACCATGCTTATTTATACTTTTGTCTACTAATGTACATTTAAGATGTTTTAAATTTCAAGTTACAAATGCTGCAGTGCTTATCCTTATACCCATCATTCCAGTGTAGATACTGATAACTGGAATCACTAGGCCTGAGATTTTAAAATTTTACTAGGTTCAGCACGTTGCCTTCTGGTGTGACTGTGCCATTTCCTCTTCCACTACTGAGTGGAGTACCCTTTCACTATGACTCCATGCAACCATTGATATTTAACAATGTAAAGCAAGTTGGCATTCTTTTGGGTAGAAATGATTTCTGATTGTTTCTATATACATTCCCTTGGTTACTATGACACGGAGCCACTTTTCATGTTATGTGCTGCTGTATTTCCTCTGCAGAGATTACCTGCTCGCATCCAATGGCCATTTTCATCTGTTTACTTTTATGTAAATCTTAATCGACTTGTAGTAGTTCTTTATCTAACTGGATACTTTTGGTATGTTATATGTGGTGCAAAAATTTTACCTGGAGACTCTTCGACAAAGTGTTCCCTCCTTTTGCAGTCACTTCTTGCTGCACAGGCAGCAGTGCTCACCAAGTCCTCTCTCCTGGTGCAGGGCAGGACACCTGGAGACATGAAGGCTTTTAAGAAGTTGCATGGCTTAAGACACTCCCATGGGGATAAATAGAAAGCTGTGGGAGCAGGGCTACTTCCCAGAGCACACAAACCCACAACTGCTGTCACATACTAGAAAAGTAAGGAAAGCATAAGAATATACAGAAGTCAGTGTCTGTGTAGTACTCAGGACTTTGGAACCAGACTACCTGAGTTAAGCAAATCTACGCCATGACCAGGAATCAACCCAATGGAATAAATGTATATCCACATAGACTTGTATAAGAAGATTCATAGTACTAATAATACCAACAATCTGACAATGGAATAATCTGGAAAAATGGTTAACAACATTTGTGGACTATTCATATCTTGAAACACTACCCAGCAACAGGAGAACACTGCACAACTACAGCTTAGAGGAATCTCAGAAACGTCACGTTGAACAAAAGATGACAGTTGTTGCTAAAGTAAACCAGATTCTTTATTTCAAGTACAAGAGAAGAGATAAACTCAACTGTGGGAACAGTGAGAAGCGTGGCTGCCTCTCAAATGGGGATGATAGGGTTGGGGTTCACCTAGAGGGCCTTTGGGGTGAGGGCCACGTTATACACATTTGATTATCTGGATGAATGTGTTGTCAAGACTCATCTAACTGAACATTTATGATCTTTACATTTTCTTGCATGTAAATTATTCCTTACCATCTAGTAATGGCATACTTAAAAGGTTACAGTTAGCTTGTTTTTTGGCTTGTTCTGTTGTTTCTTATCCCAATGGCTTATATTCATCAAGGTTATTGTCTTTCAGAATGCTAGAGGACCATATATAGGGGTTCTTAACCTGAGTCCTTTGATAGTTTTCAATGGATTCTTGAATCTTGTGGGCTTGAATGCACAATTCTGCCTGCCTGTGTGCATGGATTTTTCTCTTTCTTTGAGGAGTGAGTTCACAGATATGACCATAAAAGCAAAAGGACTGTGACTCAAAACACATTTAAAACTGAACCTCTAGGGCCTCCCTGGTGGCACAAAGGGTTAAGATGCAGCACTATGAAGCTCTCTGCAGCCGCCATTCTGTCCCCAGCCAGGGATGTAACCCACATTGAGGCAGCAGACCTCTCCTGTCTCACCTGCTGCCCCCTGCAGCAGTTACTTCAGTGGATCTACCTATTCTGCTCCCCACTTTGTCTCTGGTGAATCCTCTCACCTGTTCCCCAGTTCTTGCATACATAAAGAAATAAATCTCAAAACAAAACAAAACAAAACTGAATCTGAGTTAGACGGTTCATGCAGAATGTGGACGGGACATTATCAGTAATTAAAGGTGAATGAATGAACATACGATAAACTGTTTCCAGTTGATATTCAAGGAACCAAACCTTTATTAAAACTGACAGATGCCAGTGGCTCCACGAAATAGTAAAAATTGTAGTAATTTCTGATCTGAGAAATACAGTTCTGATAAGAATAACAAGCAGAATCAGTGTACCATAAAAGAGATTTCCATTACATTTACAGAAAGATACTGGCTATTCAAAGTATGTACTGTGTCTATTTTAAGTATTGAAACTGGATACATGAACATAGTGAAAGCAACAGTTATGACTGAACTGTACAAATAATTATTTAATTTTGTTTTCATGATAGGAAGAAACAATTACTGAATGCTAACAGAATTGTAGTAGGTTCAGCTTTGCCAGTGTTTTAACAAAGGAAGACAACTTTGATGTGGTTCCGTTATGGCAACTTTTTTTTAAAACTATCTAATTTATTTACTTATATATATTTACATCAGTTTTAATTTTTTTTTACAGTCTTTGCTTTATTTCTCAGGTGTAGTCCCCATAGAATCTCCTCACCAGTTCACCTGTGCACCATCACCTTAGTCCTTTGTGTTCTTCCTGCCCTCATTTTGATCCATTCTCCCCTGCAGAATGTCTCTGATTTATAGTTGTCTTATCTGATTTTCCTTCTGATTAATTTCACTGAGCATAACACCTTCTAACTCCATCCAAGTTGCAAATGGCATTAGTTTATCTTTTTTGATTGCTGAATAGTATTTACTCTGTTTATATGTCACATCTTCTTGATCTGTTTTTTGGTATTTGGGTTGTTTCCAAGTCTTATCTCATGGTAACTTTTATGCACTAAATTTCTGGAATTGGTTCTTCATTCTCAGTCCTATAGCACAGGGAAACAATGCAGCATTAAATTAATGGCATAATGTTGTAAATGCTCTTTGATGTATGAAGTGGCTGTGAGAACACCTGGAAACCTTGGCTTTCTTTTATCTGCTTAATGACAGGTTTCTGTGGTCTGTTTTGTCCAATATGTCTTGAGTGTGACATTGCTAGGCATTATGGAGAGTGCCTTTGTTGGCCAATGTTACCTGGATCCACCTTTGCGTTGAGAATTGGCACGAGAGAGAGACATAAAATACAGGTAAGTATGTTTTAATGGATATGTGAACCTGGATCTAAAAAAGAACCTGGATGCTTTCCAAATCTGTAATTAAAAGTAAATAAATAAAAGGTGTAGGCAAGGATGCTTAAAACCACCATATTTAGAGGGAGACTTTGGGAAAGGAAAGGAATTCCTGATTTTTTTCATTATGAGGGTGTCTGTTGACCAAGGTGCCACACTGTGAAGGGTGTCCCAAGAACACCTACTCTCCTGCAGGTTCCTGGCCAGTGGACCAGTTGTGTTTCTCTTGTTGCATCAAGAGAAGATGGTAACGGACACCACATATGGAAGATGCATTTGGGATGGTCTGACTTCAGGGGATGTGGCTTCTGTGGCACATACAGAATTCACTTGGGCGTTCCACCGACTGCCCTTTAAAGAGGGATATGACTTCCAAACAGCAGAGGCTAAGCTATAATGAGAGATTGAGACCAGATAGGTCATACATAGTAAGATGGGCATCTCTTTATATTCACATGGAATGATCTTCAAGATGAATTTTTAAGAGAAAAAAGAGCACTGCAGAGAAGTATACAGCTATTTAAACTAAAAGACTTTATTGGGCATATTTGTGTCAACTGAGAATTTGTCTGGAAGTGTAAACAAGTAATGGCAACAGTGGTTGTCCCCAGACAGGTAACTGAGTGATTGGGGTCCCCTATGGAAGGAGGGCTGTATTTTTAACTTCCTATCCTTTCTTTACTGTGGGGATTTTGGACATATATTATCCACTCCAAAAAAATAAATATATATTTATTCTAAGAAAAATGTTGACAGAGAAATCAGTGATTTCAAGTGCGAAGCCCATGTCAAAAGCCCTAAAGGTGGGTCTCTGAGTTGCCAGAACTGATTAGCAATCGAGCTACTTGGCATAAGTTAACCCAGTGATGCAGTGTCCCTGGACAGTGACTTAGAGTGTTGATGAGGCTTGGGATGGCCTGAGCCATCATATAGTCCTGTATATGTCTCTGGTGATGGGAGGGAGTCTGTGTGTTGCACCAGAACTGAGCCCCGTCTCCCCCTAGGGCTCCCTGTGTGAAGACTGGCTGGTGGTGCACTGCTGTTGGCCTTTTTCCATCTGTCAGATAGCCCGGGAACTCAAGATGAGGACCTCCCAACTCTACGAGATCTATTCATCTCCTTCGACTAAGGATACCCTTATTTAATAGAGCAAGATAATTCTCCCTCAATTCCTAACACCTTCCTCTCAAAACATTCTTACTGGATTTTTCTTAGGTTTTCATTGAACTATTATAAAAATAAATTATATCACCTACTGTCTTTGCTGTTCTTTTTTTACCTATCCTCACAATGGAGGTGATTGTGTGTCTGGAATTGCTATTCCATCCCACACATATAGGGCAGACAGGTTCTAGAGGTAAATGTGGAGTCCTCCCTTGACTGCCTACTGCCATCCTTTCATGAGGGAGGAGGAAGGAGAGGTGGTTAGTGGTAGTTAGCACCCGAACTGGGTACCACATGTCACTGAGGCACAGAAGTACGGTCTTTCCCTTGTCCTGATTCTTCCAGTCCTGACAAGATAAGGGAGGAAATCTTAGGTGCTGCTGAACTTGAGCACCACTCTAGCATTTGCAGCTCTTCAAACCCAGCGTCAAAGCCTCAGGCAGGCAGCTATTATAAGTTATGCCTCTTTTTTCCCCAAAGATACCTTGAATTCCTAACTCCTGCTATCTATGACTAGGACCTTATTTGGAAATAGGGTGCTGTGATTGTTTGGGTGGGTTCTAATTCAAGCTGACCCTTCTCCTTTTAAGGAGAGAACAAAGACATGGAGATAGAGACACAGGGATGAAGATGACCAAGAAAAGAAGAAGGCAGAAGTTGAAGTGATGCCACCACAAGCCGAGGACTACTGGGGCTGTCAGAAGCTAGAGGAGGCCAGGAAGGATCCTTCTCCAGGGGCCCCAGCAGAGCCAACATCTTGATTTGGTCTTTTGCTTTCAGAACTGTGACAGAACAAGTTTCTTTTGCTTTAAGCCTAACCACTTGTGGCACATTGTTACAGCAGCCCTGGGGGGATTTAATACATCAACCATCTGTCATGTGAATAGAATACTCTTGTCTTTGGGAGGGTGGCAGTACAAGGCAGTGCTGAGGTGCTGGATTCTAAAGCCTGAGCTGTCTCCTGCATTGACTGACTGCAGAACTGTAGGCAACTTGGCTAGTCACTGCACCTTGGTCTCCTCATCTGTAAAATGTTATTACTGACCACTTAGAGCTGTGAAGATTCTACAAGTTAAGACACTCAGCCCAGTGCTTGGCAGGTGAAAAGGACTCAATAGATGAGGCATTATAACCATTTCCCTGTTATTTTGTATTCATAACAAATTATGTAATTTTTCATTTATGATTGGAATATAGAGCACTACAACTTAGATTAAAATTGAGTTAATTGAAATACAAAAATCAGCATAGATGGTTGGTGGATTTGGCAACCATTGTTCAAATCACTCTACAGGTTTTAAGATAGTTAGTCCTTAACAGCTTGAGGAAGATGATGATATATGACTGTTTTTCCACAGAAGAAGCCTGAGTCACAAAGAGGTTAAGCTACTTGTCCAAGGCCACACAGCTGGTAAATGATAGATTCTTCAGACAGTGTTCCTGACCAGTACAGGGGACTTGCATAGAAGGCTGCTAACCAGGGCCTGTGGGCCCTTGTGGAGGCATAAGCTTGAGTTCGTTTTGTTGAGGTGAACTCTGGTCTTTGTGGATAGTAAGTGCACCCCTGCCTTAACCCACCCCCATAGACACTAAGCAGTTTCTATCTGGCAAGTGTGATACTCCCAAGAGTCCCTCTTTGGGTGTCCAGAAACTAGCCCCTTTGGGGAAAAGTAAATGCTCAGTGTTGACATTTAATCTATAACAAAGTACTCTCTTTTGCAAGTCAGCTACTGGGGGGAAAAACAACCAGGCCTGAGGGACAAGTCTATTAAGTGAAAATAAATCTGTTTTATTGTTTCATGCTAAAACACCTAGGGTCTTTCACAAACTTCCAGCTGGGAACAATATGCGTTTTTGGCAAAGGAGGTGTGGGTAATCTCTCCACATGGTTGATCCCCCTTTTCACGAACATCAGATGGTGTCATGGCTGGTTTCTGGCACAGTTCTCCTCTTGCTGATGTAAAAGGTGGGAGTGGACCTCTCCAATGAGGGGGCATCCCTTTTCCCCCCTTTGCTGTTCTGCTCAGTCTGGGTGGGAAAGCACAAGCTTAAGAAACACTTCATTAGTGCCACAAGCCCAAACAAGTAAAACTGTGGGCTTTCAAAACCACTAGTTTACCATCAAATCACAGAAAATAAAATGGAGAACTTGTTTGTAGATGGTTCTTTGAAAAGTGGTGGTGGCACGAAGTCCTGAAGCAAGGTAACTGGCTTTCTTTAGAATAGATCAAGTCCAAGAAAAAGAACTTCACAAAAATATGTTTTCTTCCCAGCAGAAGAGGTGTCCAACACCACAGAGTTAAAGGAGAGACAACTCTGATAAGAAGCTCCCCTTTTTCTCAGACTTACCAATAGCTGGCAGTGGTACAGATCTGAGAGGTACCCGACAGCGAAGCCATGTTCCATGTGTTTTTTCTTCTCAATAGAAAATTCCTCTTGGTTTTCCAAGGTGCCAAGTGTGGAACAGATTGCTGGTGGCTCCATGTGGGTAAATAACATCAACACACAGGCAACAGACATTTAAGAGTACTCCATACAGATTCTTATAAATTACAAACCAAAATACAAACAATCTCCCTCTCCCCATCCTGTGGCTTAGTGGAATACACTAAGCAAATAAGCTGCCAGCACTGGAACTCCATATTTTTTGAACAAAGATATAAAAAAGATTGGAAGTCCTTAAATGTCATTGTCCTATAAAATAATCTCAATGTTTATACATTTTATATATCTAAAGTTTATACAGTAGTCTATAATGACAAACATATATCCCTTTTCATAGACATTATTCATGTACATATTATCCATAAAGACTCATTTTGGGTCTATTAAAAACTGTACTTAAAAAAATAAGCAGACAAATCTATAACTTTTCTTTCTTTCTTTCTTTCTTTTTTTTTAAATAGCTTTTCTACTTACATTTCCATGGAGGAGTGAATTTTCCTACCCTTTCATTTTCTCTTTATTCCCATAAACAATGGCCCTTCCCCCAAACATGTAGCTATAGAAAGCAATTCTAGGAGATGGGACTCAGACTTCAGGCTTAGCAAACTATTTTAGGTTATGTGTTTGAGCAGTAATTCTAAATTCAGTTTCGTAATTCTAAATCTTCACCTCTTTCATCCCTCCACCACTTTTGGACCTTTGACTTCTTGAGATCTGTGAGTCAGCTGGAACTGACAGCCAAGACAGAGAAACTTTAGGAAATAGGGAATCTTTTCTAAGTTTCTTTTTTTCTTTTTTCTTGTCTGGGAGCATTTTATGTTTTGGAAAATACTTGATTTATTGGCTAACCAGGTTTAAAACAGAAGTCAAATCTCCATGAAACCATACCCTATAAGCCATGGAAAGTTCCCAGTGACTTAAAATACAGAAGTGCAAAAAATACAAGTGTCAGTTTCCTGTTGCTCTAAGTGTGAGAGAGGGAAGCCAAGGTAAGAAGAAAATATGAGCTAGAAGGCCTTGAAGTCAAGGCTATAATTAGCCAGCGTGGTCTAATGGTTTCTGGGGATTAAAAGCCATTTGTCTCCCCCACTTTATACAACTTGCTTTTGTGTGGGAGCTTGCTTATAAGTAACCTTTCCATATATCATGTATAAAAGTAAATTGCTTCCAACTCTGACAAGTCCATGACTTTACCCTGGAAAGTGAAGTCATTTTAAACTATTTATAGATAGGCTGTGAGGCCTCATGGTGCTAATGAGTAGATTCTAGGATGTGAAGGCAGCATTTCTATCTTCATAGATTCGAAGCTGAAAAGGAGCCAATCAAACCTGAGATCTTTCAGAGGAAGCGGAGCCAAGGTTCAGTCCCAGCGGGCCAGAGAGGAAGGGTGAGCGCAGCTTGGGGGGCTGCCTCTGACCACGTCATCACTGACTCATCCTCTCTGTGGTCTCATCGTACCTCTTGTCTTCCCACTCACCACTTGGCAAATAAAACCAGTACTTTGGGGCTTCTGGTTGCTTATTATCACCTTCCCCTGTGGTTAACCGAGAGAAGGGTGTGGTTAAGAGGGCCAAGTTATTCATTAACATGGGTGCCAGTTTGAGTCCTGCAAGTGACGGTTTCACAGAGCAGTTAACATTTCTGTAACCACAAAATACAATCTGACCCACTCTGGTTCACTGATTCTCCTGCTCACAAGCATGATGGGATAGAAGACTGAAGAGGCTTCAATGCAAAATTATGATCCTGAACTTTAAAACATCCAAGACATCCAAATAATGCTGCAGTAATGTCATATTATCTTGGCTAATCAGAGCAGCAGGTGCTTTTTAAAATGAAATTCTTACTGATGTCTTGAAATGCGGAGAAGATAAAAATGCATCTCAGGGTATTTGTGAATTTCATTTGTCTGTGTGGGGGTCCCTCTCAGGTTCACACAGATCATTTCAAATTTGCCTATTAAGTTACAGTTGCTTTTTAAAAAGAACATGAGTAGAATATCATCTAATGACTTGTGCTTGAAGATGAGCTATTTATTAACAAAAAAGAATGGAGAGTTACAATTGACTTTCTTAACTGTAGACATGTAACAGCTTCTCTATAAGCATGGTAGTCTGATTGGAGGGTATCAGTGGAGAAAGACAGAAGGGACTTGGAATGGAAGAGAATGAGGGTGTAGTGGAGGATGCAGGATGCATGGTGGGGAGGAGGTAAGAGTGAGGGAAGTTGTGAAGAATGCTGGCCTTTCTGGCTTGAACACCTGAGAGAAGAATATGTTGCCAACTCCTACAAAAGGCTCTACGTATGAGTTGCAGACAGGTCAGCATCAGAGATAGAAGACATAGGATATTCAGTCATTTCTCTTGTCAGCTTGGTGGCAAGATGTGAGAAATTGCAAGATGAAGGGTAGCATTGGCCATAGAAAGGAATAACAGGAGGAATGGGAGCCTGGTGTGACCTGTAACAGGAGGGGACCCACTGGCTTTTCTCCATCTGCCTCGTCTGTCTCGCTTTACCCCCTGATACTGTGGGTGAAGATGAATTTGCTTTTTCTCCTATTAGCCTTCTGTCTTGGAGGCCGGCCTCTTGGTAGCTGTCTCATCTTGGTGTTCAAGGAATATCACATGGTCCACAAACAGCCCACAAACTCTCTGCTGAGCAGTTTCCATTTACATAGTTCATCTCCTCATGTTGCCAGCTTGCACTGGAAAGATTACCAAGGCAGGGTCTGTGAAGATGAAAAAAATTCAGATTTTATTATGTATGAATGTAGCCTAAGAAGACCTATAGTTCCTTAAAATTCTGAAGTTTTGTGGGCAGGGATATGACTTTCATTCACAGAAGTGATGCTGTCTCCTCAGTTCACTGTATCGGGAGTCACATGGATCATATTCTCATTACAAGTGATGCTGACAGTGGTCTGTTGGCTGAGGTAGTCTTTAAGTTCCCTCCATTTTGTGACTGATAAGTATCTTGTGATTAGTTACTCTGGACTATTCACTTCACTCACTGGTTTTAATATCCAATGATATCTCGCCTGAGCCAATTATTATTGTAGTGGCCGCTGAATGGTGATTTCAAAAAATTTTATCACACCTCTTACATTTAGTAGTTGGTGTTCTACTATAAAGGAGAATTTCTCCTTCTCCCACATTTATTTATTCATTCAGTATGGACTCAGGGATTCTTATTTGATGCAAAAGGTTATCATCTTTTGCCACACATGAGTAATCTGAATCTAGAGACGAATTCCACTGAGTAACATTATATAACATAAATGATCTGTATTCTTCAAAATGCCAAGGTGAAGGAAGACAATGCATCTTGTGGAAGAAACTAAAGAGATATAAATATCCCTCAGCACCAGTGCCTGTGAGTTCTCAGAGGCCCCAGGTGCCTGCTTGACATTCACTGGGGGAAGCAGGAGGAATACAAAATCTTTGGTTACTAGGGTGCAATCCGTGGCCCACCATGTCAGTGAGTTCCACAGGATCTGGAGTTAACGCTGTCTTGGACTCCTCACTGATCCTGCCAGGAGTTTCATCCTGCTCTGCATGACTCGTTAGCTCTTCAAAGGGAAGACACCTGCATGAGAAAGGCCCGCTTCTCTGTCCTGTGCAATCCATGCAGTGCTGATGCTGGCTCCTACCTTTGGAGATGGGTCAACCTGTTAATATCACAACTGGACCCAGAAAAAGCTGCTTTGATGTGCAGATCAGGCCTGGGCTCAGCATCTGTGAGACTGTGGCTCCCAGAAGAAAGGCAAAATCCTTTGGGAAACTGCTCCTGGGCTCCCAAGGGAGCAGCAGTGGTTGGATTGACCTTTGCTGTCCTGTGGCATTTCTGAGGGCAGGTGTATCAAGGAGTAAATGGCAGTGACAGGAAGGCTGCCACATTAACTTGACCTTCCAGATTGCGCTAAATGGTGTAGAAAGAACTTCAGCTTTAAAGAACAATCAGTTTCCATTTTAACAGGGCCCTGAAAACATCATCGCTGCAACTATGCCTGGTAGAGGTGATTTTGAATCTTGAACCTGAGAGCCCGCTCGGGCCCCTAGTGTGGTCACTGTTGGAAAGTGCAGGCTGTTTCAGTACACTCTTTGGTGCCATGATCATTTTCTGCCTTGGAGAGTTGGGTGTTGGGTTGTTTAAGATGCCCAGGGGCCAGCGGCTCCTAGAGTTGGCAGGCGGTAAAACTGTATTTACTGAACACTTAGAAGCTTACGTCTCCAGGACTGCCTTGATGTGTCATCTCAGGCCAGAGGACTGACTCCAATTGCTCAGGTTTATTTCCAAACTGGCTAGTTCCTAGCTATTACCTATGGAAATTATTTAATCTTGCTGGACCTCAATCTCCATATCGGTAAGATCAGGGTGGTCATATTACTTACTTTGTGTGGCTGCAGGGAGATGTTAAAACTAGTTGACATAAGAAAAGCAGAGGACATTATTGACACATAAAACTATTGCCACTATGTTGGTATTCTGAGAGCTCTGTGGTTCCTGTTTCTTGATAACCTCAAAGAGTGGATAAACACCACAGAGTCCAGTGAACTGGCTCAATGTCACACATTACTACTTTTTTTTTGCCTTAAAAACCTAAATCTCAAAAAAAAACCCTTAATCTCAGTTTCTTAATTGAGTTCTTAAAATCTTACATCCTAATCTACAAAATGAACATAATACTATTTACATGCTTTTTTTTATTATTCCCATTTTATAGACAAGAAAGTTGAGACTCAGAGAAGAGAAATGACTTGTCCTAAGTCACACAGTAAGTCACTCTAGTAAAAGCTGGGGGGAGGGAGGGGAAGAAACGAGAAAGGGTCAGGGGGAAGAAGAAGGGAGAGAGGAGGAGAGGAAAGGAATAGAGAGAGACAGACACACAGAGAGAGGATGTGGGCAAAAATCGAGGAAAGAGAGACTCATAACTGAAATATTTTATGAATCAGTGGGAGTGGAAGTTCAATAAATATATCTTAATGATAACAAAGGAGATGACATTTCATGTTCTGTGGACACAATTACAAACAGTCCCTGCCTCAAAAAAAAAAAAAAAATGGCAGGTATCGGGGCCTCCTGGTGGCGCAGCAGGTTAAAGCACTGCACTAAGAAGCTTAAGCCATTTCCACATGAGTTTGATCCCCGCCTGCCCCGGAGGAAATCCACATGGCGAGGCAGACCTTTCCTGACCCGCCCGCTGCTCCCCTCAGCAGTGTACTTCTTCGATCTGCCTGTTCTGCTTCCCACTCTGTCTCTGGTGAATCCTCTCACCCACCGCATCTCTGGCTTGTACCCCAGTTCTGTATGAGTAAATAAATAAATCTTAAAAAAAAAAAAAATGGCAGGTATCTTTTTGTTTGCTGTGCATTCTGTGCTTTAAAGAGCTGACAGGGCCAGTCCCTGTGGAGGTGAGTTCTTAAGCTTCCACCATCCTGCAAGGCAGTGCCTAGCCTTGTCTCTTAGAGATGGAGAGCAGGGAGCAACTTGCCTCTGTGCTGTGGCATCTCCCGAAAGTTCATCCTTCCTGTGAAGGTCCTCCTTGGCAGGAAAAAAGATTCGTCTCATCTCCAACTGTCCATTCAACACATTTGTTGTATGACAGAAAATGTGTGATAAATGAGTGCGCTTCGGGGCTGCACTGAGCTCGTTTCTGCTACCTGGCCTGCAGCCTGTCCAGCTCCCTCTTCTCCCATCTCAGATTAAATGTCATCTCCTCAGACACTCTACCTAACAAGCTGCGCCCTCAGCCATTCCCAACGCTTCCTTTACAACATCTGTCACCAAGAAACAACCCCTTGTCTGGAATTATCCATATTTACTCCCTTTGACCAAGGGGAAACCTGGTGCACTCAGAGGCTTACTCTCACTGTTCACTACTGTATCCCAACTCTATGGAAGAAAACCTGGTGCACAACGGATGCTCAACCAATATTGTTGAATGAAAACGAATGAATAAGTGAATTTTTCCCGAGGAAGAAACATTCTGTGATTTTAAATGGAGTTGGTGTGAGAGCAACACTGGCCGGAAGGCAGCCCCTTGGTCCCAGTGGTGGTCTAGCAGCGGTTTAATGCATCACCACACACATTGTATGAATTGCAAATTGTGCCAGGAACATTTAATTTCTGTTAGTTGGTACCAAGGAGGAGAGGTTGGTACAGAAATTGCCAGGCAGTTGGAAGTGAGTCCATGTCAGAACTATTTGCAAATCAGAATGGATATTTCATAAACCCTGTCAGCACTGGGGAGCTAAGTGTCCGCAGAGTGCCTGCACCAGGGCACTTAGTGGCTTTATTCATGGTTTCAGACAATCTAACCCTTCACCTTCGACAGATGAGGTGAGGTGAGCTGAGAACCGGCAGAGAAAAGACTGACAAGGTTATAGCACGCTAATGTAACGCTAACACCATGGCGCTTTCCCCATGTGATGCTAACGACGCTGCTTTATCTTCCCAAGTCCCCACCGAACCACCCAGAAATCACCATGTAAGACCTGCATTTCATACAAGGGAACCAAGGTTGTGAGAGTATTCATGATTCGCCAGAGTGCTATCAGGGGAAAATTCAAAGCCTGGATTTGAATCCTGGTGCCTCCGATTCACTGTGCTTTCAACCGCCTGGCACCTGACCCTCGGTGTGGTTAGTGTATACCAGCTCTCTGCTCTTGTCACGCCTGCAAACTCCGGCAGCTACCACATCTTGGGCCCATTTTGCATATGAGCATCTGACCTGCCACGTAGCTTCCACTTCACCACACCCCATGGGGTGCTCATTAGAGTTTCTACTCCTTACATGAGTAAAGAAAGTTGCCAAGGGGTTCATGAACTTAGGCCAAGGACAGAGAGCCTAGGATTAGGGGGGCTAGAGTTTGAACCCAGGGCAAGTGACTCTGGAGTCCGGATGCTGCATCTCCATGTACTTTTCCACGTGCCCCCTTTCAAACCTGGTTCTATTCCTGGAAGCTTTCTTGACAACTGCTTCCCTCTCTCATGTCTGTGTGACAAATCCAGCTCTTTTGGGGCACACTCTGATTTTGAATTGTGCCCCCATGTACATCTAGCAGTAAAGTCCCCATTTATTGAGCACCTTGATTTACTCAATGCCACAATCCAAACTATACCTGCACAATGTCATTAATCCTGCCACAAGTCCCCGGGTGAGTGAGTGTGTGTGTGTGTGTGTGTGTATAAGATCTGATGCCCATTTTATAGATGAGAAAATTGAGGCTTCAGGAAAGGTATCTATTCCAAGAGTCTTTAGCCCTTTGTCAAAGGAAATAGCTAGTAAGTGGTAAGGCTGGACAGATAATCTGACACCAAAACCCATCACTGTGGCTATTTTATTCTATTGCTTCTCTATAGCTTATAAAGCTCTAGTGGATTGGGAATGGAGCTGGTATAGCTACCTCCACATCCTTGTAGACTGAAGCTTTAAATCTAGTTCTCTATAGAAGACCTAAGCTCTCAGATTTGCCAACAACTAAAAACAACTTAAGCTTAAAAAAGAATTCAGCTTATAAATAGAATGTGTGGAATGGAATCTTTGGAAATGGTTCTGATATCTAAAATTAGACTTTCCTTCCACACGTGTTACCCCTCCTGTCTGACTGCTCTGTTCCTTGTAGGGAAGCTGGTGCTGTTTCCCGTTTGCTGTGGCTGGCATATCCTTCTCACTGTGAAGTTCCCAGCTCTCTGCTTGACAGAGATATAAAACACTTCTGGGTAGGA